TTGATTTATTTTGGTTCCACTCCCAGTCTGGCCCTCTTTTGATTTCTCTTGATCCCACTCCCAGGCTGGTCCCACTCCCAGCAGCTCTTCTACAGGGCTCTGCATGGCTGATGCCATCTGCCATCTGCCACCTGCCCTCTCTCCTGAGCCCTTGGCTCTCGACTTTGCTGCCTGCTCTGTGGTCTTCCTGACTGGTGCCTGGGAAAGAGCCTGCCTGTGACTTGAGCAGAGCATCCCTTGGAGAGTCTGTGGATGTGAATTTGGTCATGCACAGGTTAAGGCAGTGAAAGCATTTTGCATTCCTTGTTATTGGCTCTGCATCATCTTGTCAAGCAGAACTGACTTCAGCAATGGCTGCATAAATGGTGCCTATGTGGCACGGGGCCTAAAAAAGGCTGAGGGCAAACCTCTTCCTCCACCCCTGGTACCCCAATCACCACCTCCCCGGACTGTCGTTTGCACTAACCATTGTCTTTTTTTTGGCCTTTAAAAATGTAAATTCTCTTGAAAGTGTTCATATATTAGGTATTCAATATTTTCAACATTTTTAGCTCTTTTTTTTGTCAATATGATGATAGGACTAACATCATAGGACTGTTAAGTGTTTTGATTTAGAAAGAACTAAGGAGTCTAGGGGTGAGGAAACTGTTGAAGAAGAGGGCAGAAGAGGCAGAGGCGTGCGCAAGAAACTGTTTCCATCACACAGTCTGGCATGAACCTGTCTTATTAATAATCACGGTAGCAAGGGTTCTTGGCAATGGTGGATCTGCCTCAGACCCATCAATTCTGGCTGCTTAAAACTTACTGTTCAAGGATTTTAAACATGGCTAATACCCAGGACTGGTGGAGATCGGGATTTGTTCCTGCCTGTAACTGAAACGTGGAGTAATGGGGATAGGCTGTCTTCCAGCGAGAGGACCACGGGCACCAAGAAACGTCTTGATCCAGTGACCTCACTTCTAGGAATCTATCCTCAGGAAAGAATTAAAGGCACACACAAAGACTTATCTACCAGGACTCACACAGTGTTTGTTATTTATCCAGGTAAAAAACCAGAAATCCCCTAAATTTCCGTCAACAGACAGATGGTCAGGCTTAATTTGATGATCCAAGTAATGGAATATGATGGCTGATATTAAAATCACGTTGTAGAAGAATAGCTAATATGTGATAAGCTGTGAAATGCTAATGAGATAGCTGAGCTGAACAATTAGAGGACAAAGCAATTTGCATATGTGAATATGTATATGTGTGAATGTGTGTCTCTGCACTCATATGTATGAATCTGACCTAAAAATATTCATTTATATGTAGGAAAAAAACATTGAAAGGAAATTCTCTAAATGTTAACATTGGATATCTCTGAATTATAGAATTATGTACAGGTGCAGTTGTTTTATGTGTTATCTTCTGTAATTTCCTTTAAAATAAGTATAAATGTATAGACACATATGGATTTTGTAAATGTATATACAGAGTTTGTTGAGACATGGGGGAAATCAGACAACGCGGAAATTAGTAAAACTAGACAGTGCCCAGAGTGAAGTCAGAAAAACGTCAATGCGATTTATCTTTTCGGAAGAGGAAAAGTCAGGAATAATATAGATCGCATCAATATTTTCTGCCTTATTGAAGTCAAAAGGAGAAAAAATTGGGCTTTCAGCTTTGTGGACTGCCATTTTTATTTTCAGCCTCTGGAAAATGTTTTTGGGCAATCCTGAATCTTCTCTACATGTGATCTGTGAGCTCTCTGGGTCACAGGCCAGGGATTCTATCAAGCAACAGGGCCCCAGGGCCTCCGTGGTGCTTCCCCTATTTGCAGAGAGGAATGGATTTGGAACATTGAAAATGGTATCTGGATGGTGGTAAGTTTAAATTGGAATGGCCCAAAGTCTCTTTAGGAAATTTCCTGGTGAAATTCATTTTACTTTTGGATTTTTAGAAATATAATTACATAAAAAAGCTCAGAAATGATTACCTATATGCTTAACTACAATTATAAAATACTCTGTGTACACGAAGTGCATAAATGTAAATGTTAAACAGTAACAAAAATCAGCCAGATATGGCCACCACAGAGAAGATAAAATGGACTTTGGATTTTTCCCCATTTCTAATTTTCCTTCTTAGTGGCAAGAAGGTAAATCCTCCACACTGTGCGACGTGGTGCTGCCGTGGGCTCTTTTGAGACCCCATGGGTCACGCTTTCCAAGGAACAATAGTGCCTCCACCCTCTTGAGCACTGTCCTTTCTTCAGAGGGTCAATATTGAGTCTATAAACATTATTGATTTAATGATTTAGGAGACTTGCTTTGAGTTAAAAAGCCAATCTCATGCAAATAAGCTATGATTGCTAGGTTTTAACCCATTCATTATTAAGTATGTATGTGTTTTTGTGACAGGATCTTGGTCTATTGCCTAGGCTGGAGTGCAGTAGCACAATCCCAGCTCATTGCAGGTTTGACCTCTCAGGCTCAAGCAATCAGCCCTTCACCAGCCTTCCCAGTAGCTGGGACTACAGGCGTGCACCACCACATCTGCCTAATTTTTGAATTTTTTTAAAGACAGGGTTTTGCCATGTTGCTCAGGCTTGTCGTGAACTCCTAGGCTCAGGCAGTCCACCCGCCTTGACCTCCCAAAGTGCTGAGATTACATGTGTGAGCCACTGTGCCCAGCTCATTATTGAGTATTTATTAAGAACTTACTTTGACCTGGGTGCCACTTACAGTACCAAATAAAACAAGATGAAAACATGGCAGTCATTCTTAAAGAGCTCACAGTCTAATGAACCTCAGTGAACCAATATCCACAATCTATCTTTATGTTTTCCATTTACATCTCCTTAGTTAATATAAGAAAACCAAGGGTTTTTGTTTCTTTTTTAAAGTGAGAGGGCCTCCTCCAGGCTGGAGTGCAGTGGCTCCATCATAGCTCACTGCACCGTTGAACTCCTGGGCTCAAGTGATTCTCCCGCCTCAGTCTTCCAAGTAGCTAGGACTACAAGTGTGCACCACTACGCCCAGATAATTTTTTATTATTTTTACTTTCCATAGAGATAGGGTCTTGCTATGTTGCCCAGGCTGGTCTTGAACTCATGGCCTCAATTGATCCTCCCATCTTGCTGGGATTACAGGTTTGAACCACCATGCTTGGTCTTGTTTTCTTTTAATCTACATTGCATGACTGAGAAAATGGAAGCTCAGGGTTGTTAAATAATATGAGGAAGGTCACCGTCTCCATAACACTCGGCTCTCCTAGACCACCCCAGGGAGTAGCAGAAAACATCTGGTTGTTTGGTCCACTCACTATGACATTTTCTAAATGTACCTAGGGGGTTACAGTTACAGATTTATAGTTATGGGAAACAGGGTTGGGAGGATCTCAACTGTAAGCCAGTTTGAGCAGCTAAAAGTATGCTAATTATTAAATCTCTTGGGCAGAGAGATTCTTCCAAATCTCTCTACCTTCATTTGTCAAAGTTAAAGCACCTACTTTATAATTCTCTCTCCTGCCATGCTGACCTCTACTGGCCATCAAGCCTCTGAGGTGAGTCCTCAGTCACCTGTGTTCTCCATGGGAAGTGGCCCAGTGCTGCCCAGAGGTGATGCCCAGCGGATACTCACTGGCCCCAGACACACTCCTTTTCTGACTTCCCAGAGACATGGTGCTGGTGTTAGACACAACTCAGGGGCCCATGTTTTACTCATCCACAGGAGTCTTATTGTCTATCTCACAGGTGAATGCTTGAATGAGAAAGCAGCAAGCAAAAATATTTTTCTTAAAATTTCTTCCATTGTGCATTTGTCATCGGAAAGAATTACTGTTATTTGCCCGGGCAAATGTTTCATAGCATCTACAGCATCTCTACCTGGCCTGGGATCCTGTAAGAAAGGCAATGCATCAGCATATAAAATGACATATTCTCAGTGATCAGGAACGAAAATTGTTCCTGCAGCTTCTCATGGAAAGCTGGTTGTCTTTTAACATCAAGTGTCCTTTAATGAGGTGACCATACATGCCGGTGGACTTAGTTGTGGCTGTGCAGTTACTTCCCGTTCAACAAGCTCCTGATTTGAATGATACATTTATGGTGGTCCTTCCATATGGCAGGCAGGCCAGTGTGGTGGAGGACCACCCTGCCCAGTGCGAACCTTTGTTTTGCTTCAGTTGTGGCTGCTGTCCTTGGAGAGCTTCCTCCTTGCCATTCTGGTTGTTGTCTCATTCCAGCCCCTTGGTCCTGACTTCTGCTGATTGGTCTTCCAATGGCAGCTATTAGTATATTTTAAAAGTGAATTTCTTGTTATGTTAGCAAATAGAATTTTCTGCCTACAAAAGGGCCAACGAGGCTCTGAATCTTTTTTTTTTTTTTTTTGACAAGGAGTCTTGCTCTGTCGCCCAGGCTGGAGTGCAGTGGTGTGATCTCGGCTCACTGCAACCTCCGCCTCCCGGGTTCAAGCAATTCTCTGCCTCCGCCTCCAGAGTAGCTGGTATTACAGGTGCCCACCACTACACCTGGCTAATTTTTTTTTTTTTTGTATTTTTAGTAGAGGCGGGGTTTCACCACATTGGCCAGGCTGGTCTTGAACTCCTGACCTTGTGATTCACCCACCTCAGTTTCACAAAGTGCTGGGATTACAGGTGTGAGCCACTGTGTCCCGCCCTCTGAATGTTTTTCTTGAGGAGCAGCTCTGCATGAAATAGCAAAGGTGGCCTGAATCTCCTGCTAATGCAAAAGCGAGCCTATAAGTGTCATCCCGTAGTATTTGGTCTCCTGTGCGAGTTTCTGCTGTGCGTTTTCAATTGAGTTGGGGAGGAGAGGTATTTCTTATGGTGTCTTCTAAAACTTCAGCCTTTTACAATTCAGACAGACCCTTAGGCAAATTTCCTTGTAAGATTTATCACTGAATCTTGGGCACATTCTTGAATCTAGCGCCCAAGTGCTGGGAACACATTCGTTATTTCTGTGTTGGTGATTCTGTTTCCTTCCTTGTCTCTTTCAGGTCTCACTCTCCTTTGCCCCAGATGTCCAGCTCCAGGTCTAAAGATTCCTGCTTTACAGAAAACACTCCTTTGCTGAGGAATTCCTTACAAGAGAAAGGGTGAGATATTTCCCCCGTCATATGAAAGTAAGAGTTTCCGAGCATTGCACTTGGCACGTATGCTGGAGAAGTTCTTGAGATATGAATTTTTACTGGACATGTTTAACCTCTGCCAGATCCTTGACAATTTATTGTAGTAGATGTTCATGATTCGGGTGGTTATATTCTGTGGCTATTAATTTCCAGATGGCCTTGAGCATAACCCTGCAGCAATGGCACAGCACACACACACACTCATGCATGCACAAAGCTCTGACGCATTGTCTTACCAGGCTGGGGTTTCTCAGCTAGGGGTGAGGTCGGCATTGTCTGGAGACATTTTTGGTTGTCACACTGAGGGCTGAGATGCTTCTGGCATTTAAGGGTAGAGGCCGGGGATGCTGCCAAACATTCTGCAATGCACAGGACAGCCCCCACCACAAAGAACTATCCAGCACAAATGTCAGTAGTGACGAAGTTGAGAAATCCTGTATATGTGTTTCACAAGAAAACCTAATTTCCTGCAAACTTACAGGTCCTTTTTGGACACAAATCAGGGTGGTTCTGGAATTGCCTGAGCAGAGCTGACCTGGAGGGTAAGTTACAGATGCTTCCTTCTGGGATGAAGGGCCTTGGGCCAGGCCTGCATCTTCTTTTCTTTCTGCAAACCAACTGCCAGAAGCCTGAGCCACCTGCTCCATGTTTCCGGGCTCCTTGCACGTCACAAACTTGGTGACATTGTCACTGTCGATCTGAAATAATAAAAACTATCAGAAGCCAGTTTAAAATTATTTATTCAAGCACAAAGCTGAGGATAGCCATTTGGGAAACATAGGATCCAAAAGAATGGGATCAGTGCTCCAAAACTGAAAAGTTAAGGTCTTATTCTTATCCATATAGGCAGAAAACAAAGAAATGGAGAAGGACTACGTTTCCCATACATGGCTGGTTTATGAGTTACAGCAATTTGATTAGTTACAGCTTTGCTCCCCCTCCAATTTCAAAGAGTATATTTGACGTTCCATGTTAGACAATGGGATAGTCATGAGGTCTTTGTGTGAGAGAAGAAAGAAGGAAGTTAATCTATCAATGAAGATCAACAGTGAAGAGGGAAGGGGTCTTCTCTGATGCCCGTTTGTCTTTTATAAGACTTTACAAAACAATGTAGGTAAGGAAAAAGGCAAACCTAGAATCAGAGAAAAGAAGGCCACAGCTGCCTCTTATGTGACTCATCCCATAATCACATTCTTTTAAGACTCAAAATAATTAAAAGTTTCAACAGCTTTGATTGTGAATCACCTATTTGCACATCAGGGATTCTCCTTTCCCTGCCCACTGCTGGTGTGTACCTGCATTGACAGGCAGGCTGTTGTGTCTCCTTCACTCACTTCTGAGCTTCCAAGGAGCTGCCTCCTCTCTCCCCAGCCCAGTCTGCAGCCAGGGCAGGGGGCCGGGCTTCACACTTTAGGTGGGGCTTGCACGCCATGTGCATTCCTGTCCTCAGCCTCCAAATACTCCTGCTCACAGGATTTGGATGGGATGCAGGCATCTGGATTTATTACTTCTCAGTGCAGGGATGATTTGTTCACAGGAAGCCCTTGACTAGAGGAAACTCCTTCCCTCTCTGTCTCTCCAGGGCAGTCAGTCCTACTCCTGTCAAGGGCATTCGGATGTCACTTCCTTTGAGAACCCTTGGTTGTTTCTGCCGCACCCACCAAGAGTCAGTGCTTCTCCTGTGCTCTCAAACACCGCATTCATGCCCTTACTTCCATACTGGCCTGTGTGCTATCTGTGGTTATGTCAGCCAGCCTGTGCCCTCTTCATCGTGCATCCTGGCACCTAGCGCAGTCCCTGCCACCAGCCCCTCAGTGACTGGATGGGTAAGGAGTGTAAGCTGAGGCATTTCCACTGACCCAGCTGCTTCAAGCTTCTGTACTGGGGGATAACTTAATTATGTTCCATTGCTCCTAATTAATAACTTAAGACAAAGACTTCACACACCTATTCCCTTAATGCTTTCTGTTGAATTACTTGGTAAATTGTGAAGGCCTGCGACATTTTAGAATTTGCAGTTCATTGGAAAACCATTAATGCGTAAGCATTTTTCCTGGCATGCGGAGCACAGACACGCCCTGGGAGGCTGAGCGGGGCCTCATGTCACAAAAACCATTTCAAGGGAGTAGAACATGGGTCAGCTTTGCTTACAAAATGTATTCCTTTTCTCTTTTTGCTAATTAAGGTATTGGTGGTAGGAATGTCTTTTTCATACTTTACTTTGATCAACTTTATTTTGTTGCAGTTTTAATCTGATCAAATGGCTTATTAGGATAATATCCATTGATTTACGTATTTTCAGAAGTATTCTTTTAAGGGTGTTGAGAGCAGGAATGTGTGGTACAAAGGTCAGAGCATGCCCTGTATCTGCACTGACAACTGGTAGCCACTCTTTGCAGATGGTTATTTAAATTTAAATTAATTAACATTAAACATTCACTTCTTCAGTTGTACTAGCCACACTTCAAGTGACCAACAGCACATGTGGCTGCCATACTGGACAGGGAAGTGAACATTTCTGTCACCACAGAAAGTTCTATTGCACAGCACTGCTCTAGAAGGCAATGACATTAACTTGCTTTCCTCTTCTTAGAAGAAAAGGTTTTTTTTGTTCCAATTTTGTTACGGTTGTGTTTTTTTCAGCAGTTGGTGTGATATTATTTCTCACACACCTGAGCATTTTCCAGTCACAAAATTGATCGGATTATCGACTATTTTCAAAGTCATGTTATCTTGTTACACATTGGTTATACACAGCCTAATTGGCGTCTCTGGGCTGCTTCTTCTGAATATTTTTCCTTGTGAACCACTTCTAAAGCAGTCGTAAGTGTTCAGGAGTATCACAATGCCCCATTGAGCTGGCTCCATTCCAGTCTATCACAGATCACATCTGTTAATGTCAGTATTGTGATCCCAAGAATATTCTATGTGATACATGAAAATTATGGCTTTTGGTACAACCTTTTAAGAGTCAAGTGCATCTAAACTGAAGGAATTGATCAGAAGGTCAGGGATTCAACCAAAAGTAAATGGAGGCTCTGTACAGTGGCTCATGACTATACATCCCAGCACTTTGGGAGGCCAAGGCAGTCAGATCACTTGAGGTCAGGAGTTTGAGACTAGCCTGGCCAACATGATGAAACCCCATCTCTACTAAAAATACAAAAATTAGCCAGGTGTGGTGGTGTGTGCCTGTAATCCTAGCTACTGGGGAGGCTGAGGCAGGAGAATCGCTTGAACTTGGGAGGCTGAGGTTGCAGTGAGCTGAAATTGCATCACTGCACTCCATCCTGGGTGACAGAGCAAGACTCTGTCTCAAGAAAAACAAAACAAAACAACAACAACAAAAATTCCAAAAGTAAATGGATGTGTTTTCAAGTAATTTTGAGAAAAGTTTATGATTCCCGTTGAGTCATCTAGATATAGGCCCCATTCTTGGCCTGTCTAGTTAGATACTAATGTTCCCTCTTCCTGCTCGTGCTTCTGTGGATGTTGTGTGGGAAGCCAGGTAGGCCACTTTCCCTACAGCTCCACTGCAGAAGGAGATCTACACAGAGGAGGAAAAACTGACACCCCTCACCCTGGGCAAATCTCACACATCTAGGTATTGAGTACTGGAGCGCGTGCAGTGAAAAAGCAAACGCTGAAATCAGCGGGAAGTGGTCTGAGCCAGAAACAGCTTTCTTGGAAAGTCCCAAACTCAGAAAAAGCTGGTTTCTTGAAGGCCCACAATTCATTTTGAAGACTTTAGTGACTCCAGGAAATTTCCTTTGACCTAAGTGTTCTGTGAGGTCACAAAAAAACCATTCCCACCAGTATGTGAGCGGGCCACTGTCTGTGGTCCTTTGAAAGACCAGGGTTGATTCGGTGCCATTTCACACAGTCAGGACTCAGAGGAAAGCTTGCTTTGCAGCCATTACTATTTCAGGAGAAATAACCACACCTCTCTTGCTTTCCAGGTCACGGTGCATACCTGTTTACCATCCAGAGTTCATCACTGCCGAAGAGTCTTGGGAAGACGGCTCTGCTGATTGGGAGCGAAGGTACCTGCTGAGCAGGGAGGTGTCTGGTCTGTCTGCGTCTGCCTCCTCCGAGAAGGGGGACCTTCTAGACAGCCCGCACGTCCGGCTCCGTCTTTCCAAGCTGAGGTAGGCAGACGTGGGGTGCCCACCCTGGCAGCAGCGCCGGCCGCACATCGCGTCCTGCGTGCCCCCTCCATCTTTCAAACCAGCAGGGTGAAGAAGAGGATGAGTTTTGTCTCATCTGGCCAGGCTGCACTTTTCCTTCAAGGTGATTTATTTTCACCCGGGCCTAGGGAGACATTTAAGGCGGCCTGCAAATCATGCAGCGCCTGAGAGGACAACCCTGAATGATTGACACAGTACACTCCTCTCCTCCCTGCTCGTGGGGTTGGGGTCTTCACGGCCTTTAGGTTTGCAAATAGGATCTGTTTGCTTCAGGGGTCCCATGGCGTTGCGAAGTCGATACACCTTTGCAGTTACTGAGGAAGGAGTGGGTCTGGCTCAGCGCACAGCCTGAGGGGTGCGGTTCCCTCCTGTGCTGTGGGCCCCAGAAACCCTGTTAAGGCTGGAAACATTTTAGAACTTACGATCCGTTGGAAAACCATTAATGTGTAAGCCTTTGTCTTGGGTACAGGGAGCACAGAGCCATGCCTGGGGAAGCGGAGCTGCAGCGAGAAAGTGGATGGTGCGCATGCGTATGGGAGGACTGGGGGGCGGGGATGCGCATGCGCAGGGGACGGCGGGCGTGGGAGTGGGGTACGCGTGCAGGTGCAGGCCTGGGGCGCGCATGCGCGGGAGGCCCAGGGTGATCGCGGGAGGCCCAGGGTGATCGCGGGAGGCGCAGGGTGCGCGCGGGCCGGAGCGCTCTCGCCTTGCCAGCTTGTTTATCTGCTGGGTTTCCTCCCATGCGCCAGCTCATTTGAAAGGGTTCTTTTGAGAGGGACATGTTTGAAAGCAGCATTTCCGGGACAGAACGAGGTTTGGGAGCCCCGACCTGTGGGCTTCCATTCTGGATCCGCCCTGACGTCGCTGAGCGCCGGTGGCAGGGCCTGGCCTGGCCGCCCAACTGTGCCCTGTCGCGCTTGCCCTCCTGGCTCTGTGGCATCTCGCGGGCCTTCACTAAGATAGTAAGTGCGAAAGCCGTAGATAAGTGAAAAAACACTACTCAGTCATCAAATGTTAGCGTCTCCTTGTGTCTGTGCCTGGGGACCCGTCTTCTCTGAAGATGCTCGCGGTTGGTTGGAAGTGTGCCCGCCTGCACGCTCCAAGTGCACCTCCCGGGGTGCGGAGAGGCCCGCCTCAGACTCCCCGCGGTACGTGGGGGAGCCGCTGTCCTATGCCTCTTCCCAACAATCCTGGGAGGTTCACGCGGTGTACCCCAGGGAGGGTAAGGCTTTTGCCCAAGGCCACACTGAGCCAAGCCAAGGGGCAGGGATTCGGTCCCAGATCCCTCGCTCCGGTGCTTGACATGGAGCTGTCTCTTCCCACTGTGACTCCCAACCGCATGTAGCTTCTTCCTGATGAGTCGGGGTCTCAGCCCGCCTCGTGGGTGCAGTAAACATTTGGCCGGTGAATCCGCTATGAGATTATGGGAGTTGGGTGAAATTGTGTGAGTGCAGTTCTGGCGCCGTGGGTCAACAAGATGGCAAACCCTGACACTCTTCAGCCTTTTCCCAGCTGAATGGTGACCACTCCCACTCCCGAGGCTGCCGTGTCCTCAGCTGTCCCACAACGTGGAAAAATAGAATCAAGTACATTTGAGACTTCTGCATTCAGTGCTTGTTTTATCTTCTCTGATTCATGGAGTATTTGCCTTTGAGCTTGCCACTGAACTGAAAGACGTTAGCGCCATTCTTTATAACATGTCTAAAAAGTACCATGCGTGATCAGTGAAGAATCTTGTAAAAAACCTTTTATTTTGGGTTGTCAGCTCTGCTGCAGATGTCAGTTATGTAGAAAGAAATTTGTATTTAGAATAGCTCAATTAATGCTTCATGCTTTAAAAAGAAATGTCATTTTGATTCCTATTTAAGTAGGAGCTGTTGAATCATAATTGGGAAGCGTGAACTGATTATTCATCAAATTCATTAAATCTAAGAGAATGCAAAACAAGATTTTACCATTTTCAAAGGATCAGAAAGAAGGTTTTCAAAGACAGATGAAACTTAACTGTGGAGAGTGTTAAAAAGATGTTCCAGCATGGAGTTTCTTAACTTCATTCTACACACATACATCAAGCATGGGCTGTGTACCAGCATCCTTCCCTGTGTGGGGACGAAGCAGAAACGCTGTAGTGCCTGCCCTCACGGAACAGCTGGCGGGAGAGCACAACCGGACTGGGCGGTGATGGTGCCATTGGGCGATGGGGTCTGGCTGCTGAGTGAACAGAGATGGGCATGACGGGAGGACTGCAGTCAGGGAGCATCCTGGCAGGGCAAAGGCCCTGTGGTCCTGTCTGGGTGCAGCAAGGATGTGGGTGGAACAGAAGGGCAGCAGAGTGCAGGCCAGGCTCTGGTTCATGTAGGGCTTGGGGGGTCATGGTTAAGAAATGGGTAATGCTGAGGGGGCCGGAATGGCTTTAGAGGTCCTTGGTAGGGGCCGAGTATGTGGCTTGATGGTTAATTAAGTTATTGCCTAAGGAATTCTTAAGAGACTCTGCTGGTACAGCCAGTAACAGCATAACAATTTCTTTCTTAAGTTATTCGTTTTTGTATTTGATGATCAATCTGTATTCCTACCTTTCAGAAAACTTAGGGGAAAATAATTGATAAATATGAATCAGAAAGACAAGGTAAGGCATTCAGTTTACCTTTTTCCAGGAAACGGGAGGCTTTAAACAGCTATCAAAGAGTCTCAAATCTTGAACTTTAGTTTCCCGAACAACAAGCTATGTGCAAACACTTTGGTTAACTTTGTTCTCCTCTGGAACCTCCACCATGTTCCTTTGGATGGGGCTGTAGGTTCACTGGTCACTGATATGTGGGTGTTCTCCCTCATATCACGTTTGGAAAGAATTCAAAACACATGCTGTGAGGTGGAAGTTACTCAAGGCTGCAGAAGGTGTCTGAGTCTGGGCAACGGGACTGCTGCCCTTGCCACTAAGATCCTACCTTTTCTCTTGCAGGCGCTGTGTGCAGTGGCTGAAAGTCACGGGCCTGTTTGTCTTTGTGGTGCTGTGCTCTGTGAGTACCGTGGCTGCCCCAGCACTGCTGTTGGGTCCGTGGAAGCCCTGTGTGCCTTTGGCTGTATAGCAGGGGGAACCTGAGATGTGGGGCTTAGTGCCTGGCCCTCTTCACCTGATTATCTGACTTTCTTTGGAGGAGATGCGAGGGTTGTGGGGCAGCGGGCTGAGGGGGTCGAGGGCCGCAGCTGTGCCCTCTGCTGTGGTCCCAGTCACACAGCAGAAGCCGGGCAGCATGGTGTTGCCATGTGGAAGGCAGGGTAGCTGGCTGTGGGGCTCACTTCCCTCCTCGAGTGGTTTCCTACTTCCCTGTTCAGCCCCGGACAGTAGCACTCTTCATGTGTGTTGGGACACATCTGGAGATCGTGGATAGCCCAGAGTGTCTCAGTGCTCCTTTGAGATTATGCGCTGGGCCTCTGTCCAGCGGGGTGTGTTGAAGCTCTGAAGTTTGCCCCCTCTGGGGAGGTGTCTCTGATTTTATTTGCCCAGACATCTCCATCCTTTCAAATACATGAATATTCACAACAGACACATTCTGGAGCCAAACCAACGTCAGATGCCCTCGTAGGGAACAGGGTGTGGGAACGAGGGGAGGGCGAGGGCTGCGTTGGTGAGCCCATGGCAGTGGGCGGTGCTGTTCTTCACTGGAGGGGTCCCAGCAGATGGACCCACCAGGGGAAAGGCACAGGAGCCCGAGCAGGGAGCCAGGGCCGCAGGGCCACCTCTGTGCCCTCTGAGGTGACAGCCATGAGTCCCACTGCCAGCCTTGGTGTGCTCTGTGGCCTGATGTAGCCT